ATAACGTATGCATACCTACCTATATAATAGAGGTGACCCTTGCAATATGCTTAAAACTGTATTTTTAGCATTAGGGTGGACGCGATTAGGGTTGGTCAATTATTAACAATAAATCAGTATTGTTTTTTTTTTTTGGTACCCGATGACTTGTTTAGGATTTTCTTTAATAAAATAAAGTTTGACTATAGAGTTTTGAGAAAATCCTATTCCATGTTAAAGCTGCGCTTATGATTTATCGCCAGTCTAATTTTTAGACCTTAAACCTTAAAACTACACCTAAAAAAGTGGAATAAAGAAAACGCTTCCTCCCCATTTAGGGAAAAAGGTTAAACGTTTTGTTTGCTTTGTCAACGTTTTGGAGGGGAAGGTGGGAACTTTTAAAATTTTCAGCCCCTAAAGAACATTACAGCTGTTCAACGGTTTGGGATATAGGTACTATACCAAAGGTGCAGACACTGTTAAAACCGGCCATTGTAAACTGCGCCCGAGTTCTTATCAAGTGGAAAAAGGTGATATGTAAACTGCAATGAAAACTTTGTAAATTTTCATGTTCTTGTTTTGTTTTAGAACTTAAAATTAAAAAGGTTCGTTTAAATTATTTAATTTAATGTATGTTTCTATTTGAATTTCTTTTAACTTTTCTATAAGCATAAAAATATTTGGACGAGTTGTATAAAAGCTAGAATTAAAGTGGGAATGGAATGACTCGCATGCATTGGTGGTTAAAGTTGGCTCTGCTGATGCTTGAGCCTATATTTTAGGTGGATGATGAGTACTGAGCTCTGCACTTATAGATATATACATCTACTAAATAATCCGCAAATCGTGTCACTCATTCATCGTCGGGCTTAGATTTCATTAAATAATTTTCAAAATACTCGGATAAACTTTCTGGGCTAATATACCCTTTTTGAACCAAATTATAATCGGGGCGCAGTTTACCTAAAACAAGGTAATTTGGGCGCAGTTCACGTATGCCCGTTAAAACAATCTTTGTTTCTATCGATATTTACTATTCCTATAGCCAATGCGTTTATTTCATTAAAGTTATGTTATCCCTTTCAGTAATCTTATGATTCCCGAAATTCATCTTTTTTTTTTTTTGTTTGTGTCGTAATATTTTTTTTTTCTAGTTCTACATAGTAGTGCTCACTTTACACTTTGTAAGTCAGCGTTCAATGCCAGGTTTTTAGGCACGAGCACACATGAAGTCATAGCGTGCGCTACTCTCGATCAAACACAAGTTTCCCAATAACATATTTTTTTGGGTCACAAAAAAACCACTTTACTCGCTTACAGGCGGAATCAATAATTTTTCGAAGCAGCTAAACGGCGTAACGCCATTTTCATATGTACAGGGTGATACACTTAACGTAGGACACTTGCTATTTTCTCAGACAAATTTCGGTTATGTAGTTTTTAAAAAAAAAAGTGTTCATGTTATTTCACGGTACTATAAAATAAATAAACTATAATACACATAATAATACTACATGTTGCTAATGAATTACGTAGAAATAATTTAACAGTCCATTCTTTAAAGTGTAATCCTAATAGAAATACTAAATGTCGGCCAAAATGAATTAAACTTGAAAATATTTGATATTCATATCAATTACATTAATAGTATTTTACAGAAATTAGAAAATAAAACCTAAGACTTATGCTTAGGCACTTAAAACTTACCGGGACCACTATAAATAATATCCGTTAAAATATTAGCATAATTTGATAATTTTTTTTTAAACATTCAACATCAGCGAAAAAACAGTTTTCCGGCAATTAAAAAAAAAAAAAACGTACTCCCGATTTTTTTTATTTGTCTAATATGTTATGGATACATAATGTTATGAGTTCCGACTCCTGAAAAATGTTTTCAACTAACAGGTCTTATGATTACGTCTAAAAACATAAAAAAAACTTTGCACCCCTAAAAAATGAGTAGTCTATACAGACAAAAAAAAAATCCTACACCATAATGCAAATATATTTCAGATACCAGCTGTTGACAGTTGATTCAACCTTACTCATTCCCCCTTTTAATTTGGTGTTTTCCTAATAAAACAAAGCTTCACTACAGATTTTTAAGTAAATTTTATGTGCCTTATTCTAGAAAAAACTTATGGTATACTAAGTAAACACAACTTTTTTTTTTTTAATAAGTAAAAACTTTACTATAGCTATACTCGATCTCGAAAGTCTTTTCATATTCTTTTAAACGCCAGTAGTTAGAACCGCGTGTCTTAAAAATGTACCGAGTTATACTAATTAAAAAAAAAAAACAGTAAATATTGGAAAAACAATTTATAAAAACTATCACTGTGTCTTGAATCAGGACGTGTGATGAAGTTTTTTGCGGTTTGACAATCAAACGAAGCAAATACTGTTAGTTTTAAAATGTCGATAGTGTTTTAAAAAGTATTTAAACAGCGAAAATTGTAATAAAAATAATTAGGATTAAATGATAAACGGAAGAAGTTAAGACGAAAACAATTGCTGGTTGATAAAATAATTTTCATAAAATTATTGTGAAGGCAATAATGTACTTAAAATTAGCCTATAATTATTGCATACGATTAGTACGAATCGTGTTTTTGAGAAAATTCAATTTAAAGATTAAACCCGCTCCCAAATGATTAGTTTTAATACTTTGCAATTATTTTTGCTACCAGATGGTTGTTGTTTTAATTTTCGGCTACTTAGTCAAATCTCAGCCAGACACCGGAATTTTAGGTGATAGCTATTTATGCCCACTCCACCTTTACCCAAATGCCCATCATTGGTGTTTACCAGAAATGTCGCGGACTCCGAACCAAACTTGCTAACTTTAAATGTAATGTATCTGTTTGTAATTATGCTCTTATTGTTAACTGAAACATGGTTAACTAGGAACTTTTTGGATTGTGAACTTGGTCTTATTAACTACAATGTTTTTTAGATATGATAGATGCACTGAAACCAGTGATTGTCTTCGCTGAGGTGGAGTTCTTATCACCATTCGCAAAGATATTACACCTCGTTTAATAATAACATCTGTGCTTGAGCAGATTTCTGTAAGCTAATGAAAATTTTTTTATTTTTTTTTTATTTTTCCATAATTTTGAATTTTTTTACTTATTTCCTTTACCTTTTTTTTTTATCTATTAAATTACAATAAAGAGAGCTTTTTAATGATTTACCGTTACAACTTTTAGTAAGTTACGTAAAAAAAAATGTAGGTACTACATTTCACAATTTGCCTATAATATATATTTTGTCCCAAGACGTATAAATTTGTATTTGTGTATCGTCGGCCGTAGCAGCTGAATCGCAAAAAAAAAAAAAAGAAGAAGACTCATATCATAAGTATACTTTAACAACTGTCAACTAAGGCCACCGTTTGTTCGACTGTTTGTGACGAATTTCAATATTTTACATAATTATCGTTACTTTTAGTAGTTAGCATAAAAATATAATCAAAATATCAATTGCTAGAGATTGCTCTGTATTTTCAGCAATATATTCTTTATTTAAAAGAGAAAATCAAGCGTATAAGTTTGCATTTAAGTTTAAAAAATCCAACTTTTTTAGACCCCCGGAAGAAGCACTATACGTTTTCATCCGTTATTTGGCTACATTCGTTTACTTTGACTACTTTTTGCGCATCGATAATGAAAACAAAAATTATATATCGTTGTAAGACATACACCTTACAAATAATATACAAGTAAATTTGCTACTAAAACCTGTAATTCTTGTAGTTTTGGTAATTGGAGACACTTCGGTTTGTGTAAAAAAATGTTTTCAAAAAAAAAAAATAAGCGTATTATCATCAATGTATAATCCTGTATATATATATATATATATATAGATATCGCGTTTTCAATTGTAATTTTGTGTTTATTGAGTTTGGCTAACGTGTGGGAACAACTGACGGTGGATTTGTATTCAAATAATTGGTGATCAATTGCATTTTTTAAATTTAATTAGATTAAATTGTTCAAACAATTGGTGTTATCAACTTATTTTTAATGAACTCCATGGTATAAAGAATGGAATAACAAAAAATACATAAGACATTTTTACCAGATTATGCAATCAATAAAAAATGTAATAATTTTTGTAAACTCTTATTGGAATTCATTATATGTGATTAAAAATTACAGTCTGGCCAGTAATATGATATCGCTGGTTTAATGTCTCAGTTGAATGACTCTGAAAGAAGTTTCACTTCATCCGTGGGTACTGGTTTTTTTTTATTAAATTATTGTTTACTGAATTCTTGCTTAAGCGTTTACTCGAAAACATAATTCTTTTACTTTAGAAAAACACTCGTGCGATTCGATGTGCGTTTAAATTTTGCACTGTTTGCATAAATGAAATACAGTGCTCGTTTGTGTTAAAAATATTATACAAAGCCAAAAGACTGTGTCTATTTTTTAGATACCAACGCTTTTTTTGGGAGTCGAGCTTCCACTTGATTGTTACACCATCGTATCGACCACAAAATAATGTTCAAGAAAATCATCACAATTTCCATTGAATAATAATGTACTAAAAATAACTACGAAGAAAAATATTTTTAAAACAATCTGTGTTTCTAAAAATAGCCAAACATTTTCTGTGACATAGGTCCCTTTTAACAAATTCTATTAACTTTGTATTTAAAAAAAACATACAATTGTCTTTAAAAATAATATAGTTAATTTTCATTTATTATATCTAATCAAGTATATAACACTGAACATAAATAGCTAACTTTCAATACTCAACATATAATATACCTATGATGCAGGGCCTTTTAAACACAAAACGATGTGTTTACATAAGGACATAAATTATTTACCATAAAATTATTTTTTCCAAATATATAACATAGGTCCATTTTAACAGTTAATGCCATCCACTTAAAGTAATTAAATAAATAATGACAAAATGAAAAAAAAGAGCAAAATGATTTATTATTTAATCTAAACTACATTTTTATGTGACAAACTACATAAACAAACATATGATATATTTTATTTTTGGTTAATAAAAGAATCAGTACATCCAGGAAATAAATATTCAGTGATGATATATTCAACTACGATCTGGCCAAACTGGTAATCTGAAAGTACAATATATTATACATTTTTAAACAAACTAATCCGGTCAATTTGTCAGAAAAAAATATGTGAATAATAATGAGTTACACTTGCAAATTATTTTTAATTTCAATCATTAAAATTAAAATTATATTTTAATTTTAAACTATTACCAAAGACTACAATTTTTTTAAAAAACCGATCATATATCCCACAAGTTTTTTTTTTTTTGTTCACCAACAATTTTTCAATATTTTTTCTGGTTCGAGAATCATAAATTTTTTGTTTAAAAAATAATTATAATTTACAGCTATACAAAGGGCAAACTCCATTACTAAAATGTTTTTTTCAATTGTTTTGATCATTTTACTCAACATTTTCATTGATTATAATTTTATTGTTTATTACCTGATTTTGACATATTGTACGATAATGCCGTTTTCAATTCTTTATGATATGGAAATTCGGCACCCGGTACAATTTTATTCTTTTGTATTCCATCAATTATTTTTTGTAAATCTTTAAATAATATGCCATTTGGCTTACCTTGCAAAGCGAATAGCACTCCCGCCACATTCTATTGTTTTTAGAACAAAAATAGATGTTAGAATGTTTTCAAAACAAAAAACAACAAATGGTTTATTATTTGAAAAATAAACTAGTAACTAAAATATCTAATTTTTTTTTAAATAAAATAAAAATTCTTTTTTACCAGACATATTATATGTTGTAGAGAATTTTTGGCATAATAACATGGTTATTATTGTAGGTGACATTTTTTTTCATTTAAGGGGTAAATGGAAAAAGAAATATTTTATATTTATGGTCTCTATCTTGGCCAATAACTGATTTTTCTTTTGTGACATACGATTACCTTACAATCAGATTTTTTTTAGTATAATCATATCGATTTCATAGTAGTTAAAACATTTTTTTTTAAACGGGAAGAAAACGTTATTTTTTTTGTTATTTCTCCTACTCTAGAGTAACATCTGTGAGTAATCGTTTAAAAATCGTCATTTTGTTATTTATACTTTTATGTGTGAAAAATAATTTTACTGGTGGGAAGTACGTATATATTTGTTGGTTTAAGAAAAAAACTATATAGTTCAAGATCCGAGATGATAAAAAAAATTTAAAAAAAAACTGAAAGTAAAAATATCACTCAAAAAAAAATCTGCAACCATAAGATTAATTCTCTAAACAATAATTTACGTCAAGAATATTACAGATTAATTTCCACCTAATTTATAAAGAATAATTCAATCTTGGAATGTTTGTTTATTTACCGATCTGCCTTCAACATATGCTTTACCATACATGAATGGATTCAATAATGCTTTAACTTCCTCTTCTGTGAATGTAATGTCTGAAATCACCAAAATATTTCCCATGCTTAAAGAACCAAATTACGAAAATTTTAACTCGAAGGAATTAAGAATGATTAAGTGTAACATAAAAATACTAATAATGTGATAGTAAATATAAAGTTTTATCAAAACATACAATTTAAAAAAAATGAGTCATGTACCGCATATTCTACTAGGTATTATTTTTGTACACCGTTAAAAAAATTCTAAATTTTTTATCTGGTTTTTGAGTTAATATTTTTTGTTAAAAAATAATGAAATAGTTTAAGGCATATCAAATGACAAACTTAATTGTTAAAATATCTTTTAAATATTTTTTGAACCATAACTCAATAAATGTATTGGATATTTTTTATTGTTTATTACTTAATAATATAGTTTTCAATGCATCAACAGTGGGGATATCTTTGTTTGAATCGAGTCGCTGTACTACTTTTTCAATGATATCTCTTATTCCTATCAAGTTTATGGTCTTGTATTTTCCCTCGACTATACCGTCAGGATTTGAATATTTCTCGAATTCTTCTTGTATAATATCCTATTGTAATCAGAATATGAAATATACGATATAATATATTATAATATTTACAAATAAAAATCAAAACGCCCAACTACTAGACATTTGTATGCTTTGTATTTTTTTTAGCGTAATAACATTAATTTTATAGTAGTTTAGGCATTTTTTTCTTCGTATTATTCTGTATTGTTTATAAAATATAAATGTAATTTAAATAATCTCTCTGGTGCAAAAATGGTTAAGGTAAAAAAATGTCATTTTCTAAAAATATAGTTGCACATAAACAAGCAAGAATCGCAGAATTTTCTATAAATCGTAATTTAATAATATGTGCTCGTTTACTTACAAGCTGATCATCAGTTGGGAGAGTAATACCCTGTTTACAGAATATGAATTAGACGTTATAATATATATATATATATATATATATGTATAATTTACACATAAAAATCAAAACGCCAAACTGCTAGACATTTGTATGCTTTGTTTTTTTTTTCAGCGTAATAACATACATGTTATAGTAGTTTGAGCATTTTTTCTTATTATTATTCTGTATTGTTCAAGAGTGTAAATATAATTTAAATAATCTTTTCGGTGCAAAAATGTGTAAGGTTAAGAAATGAATTTTTTTTTCTTTAAAATATAATACATTTTGCACATAGTTAAGCAATAATCGCAGAATTTTCTATAAATCGTAATTAACATGTGCTCGTTATACTTACAAGTTGTCCTTCATTTGAACCACCCTGACATTGCAAAAAGTATAATGCCGCGCAGAAAAACAGTATGACATTTTTGGAATACATTTTAAAATATCAAACAATATTCTTGGATTCGAAATATTTAATTATTAGTTTTGGAAGTGAAAACTGTTTTGAAACTATTCGATAATAGTACTTGTGTTTTTTTTTATAATGTAATGGGAGTGTAGTAACTTTTTGAATTATCGCAACGTTTTCTATTAGAACATCTACTTCAAGAACGAAACGGTTCCAACTTTGCCACTATTGAGCTGTGCGATTTCGGTGTAAAGCATAGTTGTTTACGTATTTCCTTGTTTGTGTTGTTTGTAATTTTTAACACATGCACTCGCCTACTGTTATTTTTTTTAGTAAATAATGTATTTTCCAATGTTTATAATGTGTGGCGACTTTTGCGCGACGTTTCAGCACGATTTTCAACTAGGTCACTCTACCACGATACATTATCTGGTTGTAAGTGTTAATTGTGTATACAATTTTCCGACTAAGTTCGCAGGTTGATGTTATCCATACGGACTTAGGTTAACCAAATATAAAATCTAAAATATTAGGTATTTCTGTGAAAATAACATACAAACTAGTATGACTACATTAAACACAGTAACTAGTTTAAAAAATATATATTTTTAATTATTCTCATAGACTTCATGTAATCAATGACTAACAAATCACAATCAAAGTGGTCAGTATTGCGGTAAGGGATCATTTTAATATTACATTCTGAGAATAAGCGGTGGAGCGAATTTAGTCGTTCTAACACAGTAAAAACAGCCGTTGAATGACCTGATTTTGTAACATATGAACGGAACGCCATTTCAAATCAGTTGAGATCGGGTAGTTATAATTAAAAGAAACAAAATGAAAGAGCGAAATTATTTATTATTTAATCCAAACTACATTTGTATGTGACAAACTACATGCATAAACATAATATTATAAATTTAATACAATTTAATAATAAAATCAAACTATTCATCATCATCATCATCAACATCATCAGGAAATAAATAATCACTGACGAAATATTCAACTTCGTGCTTGTTAAACTCGAATTCTGAAAGTACAAATTATTATACATTTTTAAACAAATGAATCAGGCCAGTACAATTTATCAGAAAAAAGGGATGTGAATAATAATGAGTTACACTTGCGAAATATTTTTAATTTAAACTATTACTAAAGATTAAATTTTTTTAAAAAAACCTATCATTATCCCACAAGTTTTTTATTTATTTTGTTCACCAAAAATTATTCAATGTTTTTTCGGGTCCGAGAATCATGATATTTTGGTTTGAAAAATAATTATAACTCACAGCTATACAAATGGCAAACTCCATTACTAAAATGTTTTTTAATGGTTTTGATAATTTTACCCAATTGATTATACTTTTAGTGTTTATTACCTCCTTGTGACATCTTGCACGGTATTGACGTTTTCGGTTCGCTATAATATGGAACTTCTTTACTGAAATATTCATCATCTTTTAATTGTATAATCAATTCTTCCAATTCTCCATATGTTATGTGGTTCTTTCCATACGAATCGAATACTGTTCTAATCCGATCCTATTTTATTGGTATTAGAATAAAAAGTAAATATTAGAATGTTTTCGCAAAGAGAAACAACAAATGGCCCATTATTTAAAAAATAAACTAGTGCAAGACGTTAAATGAACACACTCGGTATTTAATTTTACAATTAAATCTAAATTTTTTAATAAAAAAAAAATTGCCTTTCTACCAGACATGTTTTAGGCCCTAGTGATTTTTTGGCATAATAACATCGGTGTCATTGTAGTTAAATTTTTTTTTTTAATTTAAGGGGAAAATTGAAAAAGAAATATTTTATATTTATGTTCTCATTTCTTGGCTAATAACTGATTTTTCTTTAGTAACATACATTTGCCCAACCACCAGATTTAATCATGTCCATTTTATCGTAGTTAAAGCATTTTTTTCATAATAGGAAAAAAAATGATATTTTTTTATTATTTTCCCTGTTCTGGAGTAAAATCTGTAAGTAATCGTTGAAAAATGGTTATTTTGTTTTTTGTATTTTTATGTGTGAAAAATCTTCAATTACATAATTTTATATGAAAATCATATTATTTTACTTACCGAGAAGATAAAAAAAATTTACTGGTGGGAAGTATGTATATATTTGTTGGTTTAAGAAAAAAACTATATAGTTTAAGATCTGAGATGATCAATAAAAACATTACTCAAAAAAATTCTGCAACCATAAAATGAATTCTCTAAACAATAATTGACATCTTTTACAAATCAGCAAGAATCTTACAAAATTAATTTCAACCTAATTTATATAGTATAATATTTCGAGTGTCCCAGCACATAAAACTTAACTAGCCTTTTATTTTGTAATATAGTTTTTCATTTACCGTTTCACCAGCATCACCAATGCAACCGTCCAAGAAATCTGTTACGTCATCTCTGTCGTATGTGTAGGCTGAAAAAAAAATATTTCACATTTTTAAAAGAACAAATTACTAAAATTTTAACTCGAAGGAATGAAGTATTATCATGTGTAATATTATAATAATAAAATAAAATGAACCATGTATCTCATATTTTACTATTTTTTTTTTGTACACCATCAAAAAAAGTCTTACTATTTTCTAATTTTTTTATCTGGTTTTTGTGTTGATAATTTTGTTAAAAAATGATAAAATAATTTAAAGCTATTTAAATGACAAAATTGATTACTAAAATGTCTATAAAATATTTTTTGTACAATTTACTCAATACATTTATTGGATTATTTTTATTGTTTATTACATGCTGCAATGGATTTCAATCCTTCAATGCTGGGAATGTCTTGGCTTCTAGAGAGTCGGTATTTTACTCTTCCAATGATATCTCTTACGCCTGTCAAGTTTACGGCCCATTCCTCACCTGTGACTATGCCGTCAGAATTTGAATAGTTCCCAATTTCTTCAAGTATGCCATTCTATTGTTTTCAGAATATGAATTAGACGTTAAAATATATATATATATAATTTACACAAAAAAAATCAAAACGCCAAACTACTAGACATTTGTATGCTTAATTTTTTTTTTCAGCGTAATAACATAAATTTTACAGTAGTTTAGGAATTGTTCCTTATTATTATTCTGTATTGTTCAAGAGTGTAAATTTAATTTAAATAATCTCTTCGCTGCAAAAATGGGTAAGGTTAAGAAATGACATTTTTTTTTCTTTTAAATATAATATATTTTGTACATAGTCAAGCAATAATCGCAGAATTTTCTATTAATCGTAAATCGGACATGTGCTCGTTATACTTACAAGTTGTTCAGGATTTGGGCCACTCTGACATTGCAAAAAGTATAATGCCGCGCAGAAAAACAGTATGACATTTTTGGAAAACATTTTAAACTTTCAAACTTTCAACTTGGAAAAAAAAATGTAATTATTTGTTTTGGAAGTAAAAACTGTTTTGAAACTATTCGATAATAGTACTTGAGTTTTTTTTTTTATAATGTAACGGGAGTGTAGTAACTTTTTGAATTATCGCAAGACTTTCTATTAGAACATGTACTTCAAGAATGAAACGGTTCCAACTTTGCAACTATTGAGCTGTGCGTTTTCGGTGTAAACAAGAGTTGTTTGCGAACGTTCTTATTTGTGTTGTTTGTCATTTTTAACACACGCACTCTCTTACTGTTATTTTTTTTTTTAGTAAATAATGTATTTTCCAATGTTTATAATGTGTGACGACTTTTGCGCGACGTTTCAGCACGATTTTCAACTAGGTCACTCTACCACGATACATTATCTGGTTGTAAGTCTTAATTGTGTATACAATTTTCCGATTAAGTTCGCAGGTTGATGTTATCCATACGGACTTTGATAACGCGTTCGTTTCTGTTAACCACTGCGTTGTCATCAAAGTCCTCGGTTTTGGCGAGCTTTTACTATACAGACTCTCCTATTATCCCGTCATTTATTAACTTTAAAGTTCCACAATACTTCCTTTCATATTCCCCAATTCTAGAGTAGTTTTATGAAAAACGAGCCAATTAGTCCTTGAAAAGTCCTCGGTTTCGGCGAGCCTTTACTATCATGGTACAGATTCTTTCTGGAAAATAGACAGCAATGGGTTTTAGTTTTTTGTTTTAAATCAAATGCGTTTTTAACATCTTCTGATGTACCAGTGGAGTAACACTTGTCGCCACTTTTATTTTAACTGTTCATTAACAATGTTCCGTGATCTATGCCATAGTCGCCCATTGTGCTTTGCTGAAGATCATGAAAATCTATATACGTATAAATAATTTAGGGCGATGGGCATAAGCTCCAAGCTGATTTAAATAATTTTTGTTGAGTTCTTTAATACTTTAGTTCTGTCATTAAATATTTTTCAATGTAAAATTATAACATTCAATAGTAGCCGATCCCTAACAATATATTTATATCGTCTCTATAAATCTTTCAAATTTATTAGTTTAATTATGAGACTAGCCAATGATTTTACCCTATAACGCTCGGTTAAGATATTGTTTTGTGCACTAATTCGACACATTTTTGAATACTTCTCAATAATTTAGGCCCCACATACCACCAATGGTTCGCTTTAGCTCGAGAGAATCAATGAGGTATGCTAGTTTTTATTTGTACATTTAATGTCCTACCAATTAATACTCTCCTGTTGCGAATCACGTTGATTTAGTTTCCTTAGCTGACCATTACCATACCTAGCATATGTTATTATAAATATTACTATTACTGCCTTTACTTATTTTTATACTGTATATATCAATTTTTATTCATAGAGCTCAGTCCGTAAATTATAAACAAAAAAATGTTAATCATATGGTTGAACTGTTCTTTTTTTTTTTAAATAACTAGTTAGTTCATCAGCTTAACATTGTTGTTAGTAGCTTAACATGCCAATTAACTTTTTAACAAGCTGATTTCGGCCGATTAACTTAACAATCGTTATAATAACGTGTTAAGGCTAATAAATCTCGACAAAACCCAATTTTCAGTAACCAATTGTTAAATATAATTAACAATAAGTTAAGTCCTTACTAAATGTTGGTGAAATCGGCTATTTATATTTTATCTTAACAGATAGCTTAATTCGCTATTAATTTACTCGTATATGTTTAAAAAAAAAACTAAATATTTATATAAGGACGCGTGTAAATCTCGAAAATAAAATCCAAAACCATCGTCACCAAGCAGATTATTTTCTTATTTACAAAAAAAAAAAATAACTAATTATTTAATAATAGTGAATACATTTTGTCTTATGACTATGCCATGACCTAATGATATTAACATTCGTGAATTCGCAACAAGTTCGGCAACGGGCAACTTTTTGAACCGCTAATGATTTTTTTTTTAATTTAGACTTTTGGATGTTGTTAGATATTATTTTATGCACATTTAAGGCTTAAATTTCACCTTAAGTAGTTTGAGCATGCGTGGTATCACGTTTTAAAACTTCAATGGGAACTCCCAAATTTTTTTAGATATTCTGTTAGATTAATCAGATTAAATTTTTTTAACCCCATGAAAACAAAACGCTTGTCGTTTGCTATTGATTATTTTTTCCAGAAAAAGCTGTTGGTTTGCTTAGAAATAATGTCACTAAAATGGCATTGCGCCATATTTAGTATCGTCAAAATGTCTTAAAATTACGTTTGAAAGTACAGTTAGAATATATTGTACAGAGTTGTTTCATTGTAATGGGGCCTAATTGGAAATTAGTTCATCAAAAGAGTGTCTGAAACACGAATGAAACATAAAAATCCAACGCTCTAACACAACGGTCATTGAATGACTTCATTAATTTGTAACATAAGAACGGAACGCAATTATACTTAAAGTAATAAAATAAATAATGAAAAAATAAAAGTGGAAATCGATTTATTATTTAACACAAATTACATTTGTATGTGACAAACTACATACATAAATATGTACATATTTAAAAAAAGTTAATAATTAAATCAATCAATAATTTTTTTAAGAAAAAAAATAATCAGTGACGATGAATTCAACTTCCTTCCTAGTAAACTTGTAATCTGAAAGGTAATTAAATTAAAATGTTTAACTATTAGTAAAAATTTAAAAAGTGTAAAAAAAACTATGTTCTTGTATTCTGAAAAATATTTTACCGAGATTTATGATTTTTAGTTTAAAAAATAATTATAATTTACTATATAAATGACAAACTCCATTACTAAAACGTTTTCTAATAGTTTTGATAATTTTACCCAAGACACTTATTGATTATAATAATTATATTGTTCATTACCTGATTTTTCGGTTTTGTACGGTATTGCCGTTTTAGGGTATTTAAGATAATTTGGAAATTCGAAAGTCATCTTAGCCTCAATTATATCATAAAACATGTCTCGTAAATCTTGAAATGTTATCCCATTTGGCTCCACATATATTTGGAATAGTAAAGTTGTCGTATTCTATTGTTTTAGAATACAAACTAGATATTAGAATGTTTTCATAAAGAGAAACAATAAATGATCCATTATTTAAAAAATAAACTAATGTAAGACGTTAAATAAACACTCGGTATTTAATTTTACAATTAAGTCTAAGTTTTATTTAATGAAATAAAAATGCCTTTCTACCAGACATATTATATGCCCTAGGGATTTTTTTGGTATAATCACATAAGTGTCATAGTAGTTGAAGATTTTTTTAAATCCTACTCTAAGAATACTCATGTACAATATTGTTCGTTGTCTAGGGACTGAGCTATGATATCAGCTATTCGATGGACTTGGTGAAGAGTGGAGTGTTTGTTTTTAAATCCGAAATGTGTGTCCGGAGTAAATTATTTTGTTGTTCATCAAATTGAATTGATTCTTTTTAATAGTATTTTTTCTAGTAGTTTTGAAAGCGAGGGTAAGAGACTAATTGGTCGATATAAGGATAGACAGTCAGCTGGTTTGCCAGGTTTAAGTATTAGTATAGATTGTTTTCAAATGGGTGGTATATAAGAGAGACGGAGAATAGAGTTGAAAATAAAAGCGAAAAGTAGGTAGGCTTTTTAGGTAGGTGTTTAATCATTTTGTTAGTAATAAGGTTATGACCAGGAGATTTATTATTTGGTAGTTTTTTGATCATGTAATTCATTTCTGAGGGGGTAGTATGTTTTGTTGGGAAAGGCATAGATAAGGTATTCGTTAGGGAAATTTCCTATGTATGCGGTTTGATCGATATTATTTATTTCTGGGTGTGGAGGGAAGTTGTTTTGGAAGTGCGTGGCAAATAGGTTTGCCTTATCTGAATTTGTTATTGCTAAGGAGCTATCTGGATATTTTATTAGAGGTATTGTATTTTTTTGTTTTAAAATTCTTTTTGTTGCTTCCCAAAGGCAATTATCTGTACTGTTAAGTATTTTTTAGAAAACGGCTTGGGTTATTATATTATATAGTTTTATCACTAGGAAGGTGAGAGCACTGCCATCGCGATCTGGCCTGCTGTTTCTCCGATAGTAATATTGAGATATTATGTACATGAAGGTTATTGTTAAGTTTGGGATTAATCGGCGGATTAGATAAATTTTCTAAACAATAATTAAAATTTTTTTTTAAAAAATGTACTTACTATTTTTACTTACTACACTGTTTTTAAAAGTGTTTTGTAATGTGTAATATACAAGTTTATAATATAGCATATATTGTTAACGTTTATCAGTAGTGGTCTATCTAAAGAATATTTCGTAAGATTTGACTTTTTAAAATTCAAATTTATAAAAAAAGTAATATTTTGGGTAATTTTTCACTACTCGAAAGGCGAACAAACAAAAATTTGTTTGGCAAAACTATTCAAGTCCAATTTTTCATCTATGGACTTGTTACCTACAAATATAGATTGATACTTGCAACAATTTATGTTATTGTTTTTCCTATAATTATTATTGTGTTAGGTACATCATAAACTTATGTAACGTTATATAAATGGTACCTTGCATTTGACAAATGCGTTTTAAAGTTTGAAATTTTTATCTATGTAGTCACCAAAATTGTCTTTTTTTTATTTCATAGGAATATCACTTTTTCCAAAATATACATTTCATTTAAATTCACATATTATTTTATGCACATTTAGGGCTTAAATAAAACATTTCACCTGAAGTAGTTTGCGCATGCGTGGTATCAACTTTTAAAACTTCAATGGGAACCGCCATACTTTTTGGATATTCTGTAGATTAATTAGATGAAGTTTTTTATCCCCTTGAAAACAAAACGCTTGTCGTTAGTTTTTATTTAGTGTCACTGAAATGGCATTGCGTCATATTTTGTACCGACAAAATGCCTTGAAATTATCTTTGTAAAAATGGTTAGAATATTGTATAGGGTTGTTTCATTGTGAAAAAACTAACTTGTGACAAGCAATTTATATTTTAGATTCTAACCGGAGCTAAGGAAGTACTGAATTTTATTGATTGGTTTATTCCTTTTAAAGGTTTTTGGTTTTCTTCATACAATACACAGACTATGAGTCTCAGTTAAAAATTAGTTCATCAACAGAGTGTTTGAAATTTTCGCGAAGCATACAACTTCCAAATGTTTTTAGAAAATGTTAGTGGTCGAATAAATAAAAAAAATTTAAATTTACGCCCGGAGATTGAACCGTTGACTGTTTGCTGGGATTCGGTTTTTTATACTTAAAAGTAATGCAAGAAATACTAACGCAATACAAGAGCAAAATGATTTACTAATCAATCAAAACTATATTTTATACTTGACATACTACATACATAAATATATATATATATATTTAATAAGATTTAATATTTAAATCAAACTATTTAGAAAATAAATAATCATTGACGATGGCTTCAACTTCCTCCGCAGTAAACTTGCAGTCTGAAAGTACAAAGTATTACACATTAATTCTTAAACAAACGAATCACGCCATTAGAAAAGTTCCTAATTTTTTTCAATACAATTCAAAATTGCTTATTATTTTTACACCTCCAAAAAGTAGTCTCCTGTGTTTTGTTTAATTTGTCGGTTTCTCGAGTTGTGATTTTGTATTTAAAAAAATACAAATTAAATTTTAACAAACAAATAACTTGATTATGAAAATGTAGTTTCAATAGTTTCTTAGAATTTTACTCAAAATATTCAATGAATATGTTTATATTGTTTATTACTTGATATTGCGTTTTTCAGTTCATCAACATCAGGGAATTCTATAGGTGTACCCATTTCTCTTATAACATTTTGAATTACACCCTTTAATTCTACAATGTCTATGCCATCTGGCTTTTCATGTTTCTCGAATATGTCTCTTATTATTTCCTATCAGAATAATAATATACATTAAAATATAAATTACAGTTCAAAATTAAACAGATTTTTCTTTAGCAAAATAAAAATACCTAACTACCAGACATAGTTTATTGTATATGCCTTGCAGTTAATTTAGCTTAATGACACCAATTTCATAGTAGCTGTTGAAACTTTTTATTTTATATTAGAAAAATAAATAATTTGTATTTATGTTATTCCACTGCGAGGCAAAAAGTATGTGTAAAAAACATTTACTTTAATAAATTGTATCGTTTTACTGGTCGGATGTATACACTATACATTTTTTGGTTTACAAAAAAAAAATGATATTGTTTAAGATAATAGAATTGACAAAAACCAGAACTGCAAAAATCACTTTAAAACAATCCTCCGATACAAAAATGGGTACGGTGAAAACATAAGTTCAATTTTCTTAACTATAACTTTCATTTTGTGTACAACAGCATGGATCTCAGTATTTTTTATTTAACTTAAATATTAAGTACTGCTTATGCTCTCTAAGATTAAAACAAACCTAATTTACATAGAATAATTGATAGTTTATGTACTTCGAATAAGCCCGTATGAGTTAACCTAACAAGCCTTTAACCTGTAATATGGTACTATAGCCGTTTCTTATCTACCTTTAGATCCGGATGTTGCAAAGCTAAAAATTCTTGAGCGATTCTTACAACTTCGTCCATTGTGAATTCGCGGTCTGAAATAACAAAATATTATACATTTTTTTAAATAACGAAATTAGCCCAATTCAAATTTAAGCAGTTCAGAATTCGGAATGTAAAACCGGCAAAACGCTTATATTTTTAATTCTTTTAATAGAATAATTATGTTATATTAAGCTATACAATATAAGTTAAATGTATAAAAAAATATAAATAAGCTAGTCATATAATTCACAATTTATTCATTTTATTTTGTACACCATCAAAAAATGATCCCCTGGCTTTTAAACTTTTTTGTGTTAAGGTTTTTTAACTTAAAAAAATGAGGAAGTGTACAGTCATACAAATGATACGCTTGATTATTAAAATGTCTATTCAATTATTTTTTGAAATTCTACTTAGCACGTTTATTGAATATTTTTCTATTGTCCATTACTTGGTGCTGCGGTTTGCAACTCATCGAGACTGGGAAATTCTTCAGATAACCTCGTTGTCTTTGCTACTTCTTTAATGACATTTTTTACATCTTTAAAGTTTATGCCATTTGGGATTCCATATTTCTTGACTATGTTTCTAATAACCTCCTATTGTTTTTAGAATAAGAATTAGAAATTAATACGTACATTACAGTAGACGACCGTATCGTTTTACTAGTCAGAAGTTTATTATTTTCGGGATAGTGAAAAACGATAGTATTATATTATAACACATAAATATGGGTATATTTTAAAACATAAGATTCATTTTCAAAACAATAAATTACATTTTGTTTATAACGGCAAATATCTCAAAGTTTTTAATTATCATAAATACTTAGTACTTGTTATACTTACAAGATTAAACTAAATTTATTTTACATAGAAGAATTAAAAGTGTGTTTGTTTTGAGTATGAACAGCCTAACGAGCCTTTAAACGGTAATGTGGTAATATAGTTTTTTGTTTACCGTTAAGTCCTGATCTTGAAATACTACAAATTCATGGGCGATTCTTTCAACTTCGTCTATAGTGAATTTACGGTCTAAAAGTACAAAATATTATACAATTTCGAAAAAAAAATCCCAAATTTAGAATAATAATATCTGACGCTTGAAAAACATATCTATTTAAAATTATTGTAATTTAAAAATAACAAAGTAATTTTAAACTATACAATTTAAGTAAAATGTATAAATTTAAAAAGAAATCTCACATTATATTTTTTATTAGTTTTATGTTAAATAAAAACAATACACTTGATTAGTAAAATATCTTTTCAATAATTGTTTTTGAAATTTTGCTTAGCACATTTATTGAATATTTGTCTATTGTTTATTACTTGATGCTATAGTTAGTAATTTACCAAAACTGTAGAATTTTTTGTATACGCCCGTTTTCTCTGCTACTTCTTTAATTACATCTTTTACACCTTTAAAGTCTATGCTAGTTGTCCTTTTATGTTTCTTGACAATGTTTCTTATCATTTGCTATTGTTTACAGAATAAAAATTAAACATTAAAATGTATATTAATTTTACATGTTATAATACTGATATAGCTTTAGCGAACAACCACTCAAAATACTAAAATTTTCTTATCAAATGGTTTGAAGTATTCAACTTTATGTTCAGGATACCAAAGACAGTTGTATTTAACTGCTGGTACAGTTGATGTGTTTGAAGATGTAGATGAGAAACATGTTGATGGCAATATTGTGTTAATGTTGGAAAATAGTGATGATGACGATGAAAATTTTTAAATCTAGTATTTAAAATATTTAGTGTAATTCAAAAAAAATGATTAAATAATCTATATTTCTTGTATTATTTCAGTCCTTTATATAAACAAAGCCAAGCGGGAAATGAGTGTATAATTTATTAATAATAAATTAAAGAAAAATATTAAAATGGATAAAGCAATACTATCATTATTAAAAACGTTTTTCGCTTACTTAAAAAAAAATATTTTTGTAATCATTTCAAAAACAAAAACCAACAAAGTGGGCAAATGTAAAGTCGTCAATTTGTTGTACATTTGTAAGAAACTTTTATATAAGAATGATTAAGTTTTTTTTATAATATTTTTATTTTATACATTAACTACATTCCATGAATATGCGACAATAAAAAGGAATTGTTCGTTTATTTGAAAGTGATGTTCATCCTATCCCTCTTGGGTGGGGGGTAAGGTGGCAGTGTTTTGGACTTTTAAAACGTCAAAAATAACATTTGGACTGTATCAAAAAGAGTGTGACAAATAACACTTTTTACTTGATAACACATTTAGTTATCAAGTACATCATAATTTTATAATATTTGTAGTACTGTGTATAAGTAAAGTTGTATTTTTTTTTATCTAGTCTATTCCAACTGTTTTTGAACACCTTATTGTGTGCTAAATTTTAAAAAGGGCTTTGTGTGCGCGATTACTCATATGTTGTTCACAACGATACGAATTCAAGGTAAATAAACCGCAAAAAAATATGTTACTGGCTGTGTGTTGTGTACGCACTTGTCGTTTGTTGTAGCGCTTTCATGTAACGAAAATTCAGAGTACAAAATAAAACCTAACACGTTATCAATAGGAAACCCAAATTTGGGCTTCTGCTTAAAGAGTTCTGTACTTGTTAGGATATAATCGTTCTACTCGATAACATTTTTCAAGATAGTAATACATTATGTTTTTTTATGTATTTATTATTACTTTTTCCCAATAAAATCCCTTTTACATGTGATTCCTGATCTGTAGAGTTGCTACACAAGGAAATCGGTCGAGCAGTTTAAAAGATATAGTGGGTCCAGACATAATAAAATAAAATAAAAACACATCATTGTAAATAAAATACAATACTTTCTCAGCTCCTGAACACTATTGAAGTTTCAAGTTCAGGGCCGGTGGAAAGGTGGAATGTAGTATTATTTTTATCGGCACGCGCTGCCCCTCTCATCCTAACTTTTAAACTCTTATAATTTTAAAAAAATAGTTGGTCAAACCTGGTTATTAAACAGTCAACATTTTAAGTACGTTATATTCAGTTTAAAATATTAATATCAAAAAAACTAAGTTGGGAGGGCAGTAAAAATAAAAAATAAATAATTGTGGAAAATTAAGATCACATTGTATAACAACACTATGAAAACAAAATTAAATTTCCTATAACAACCTATTAGATATTTAGAGTTGTTCGCGACAAAATAAATCACCCTGTATACATATTCCAATTTGATCATAAATACTAAGTGTTTGTCATACTTACAACATTTTCTGTAGTAGGGTTACCACATTGACAATGCAAAAAGTACAACGCCACGCAGAAAAACAGTATGGTATTTATCGAACACATATTTTACTTATTCAAACAATAAACTTGGACTTGGAACAATTTATTACAAGTTATAAAACGAAAACTACTTTAAAACTACTCGGAATTTGTAGCCACATCGCTTTATATATTGTAACGATAAGATTATGTATATAACATAAAGACAAATTATGATTTATTAAAATAATTTTTTATTGGAACACAAAACACTTGCATACAAATTATGTTATTTTTTTAATATATTTTTTCCAAATAAAAGGTGTTATTAAACAATATAAACAAGTAAAACATATGACAGCTTTTATACAAAAAAATATTTACCAATCGGCACTGCTATTATTTAAAACATTTTGGAATGCATTAAAAATATTTCAAATTCGGTTATGATTGTTTGGTTATTAGTGTAGGCGAGATACCTAGTAAATAATTATGGAATACGAGGTTAGGTTAGGTATTTATTGGTCATACTTCTTGTTATACTCGAATACAATGTGTAGCAACCCTACTTTTGTATGGTACATAACATTTTTGGTTTTTAATGATTGTAAAAAAAAAATGTCATTGTTGAATTTGAATGTGCGAATTCAATTGTGTTAATTGATAAAACAATATAATATATTTATATATTATCAAATTTCAGCTGCAGGTTGTCTTATCCATTGTTTTTTTTCGTTTCACCTGCACCTGCACTAGACGCATCATTAATACACGCGGACAATAATTATTATTATTTTTTTTTTTTTTATAATAATTCTAGTACCAACGATAGTAATTGTTGTTACATGATAAACCAGTCGGTTGTCTTTGGTTTTAACGTGAAAATGTCTTATCCCAGAATAGTAAAGCAATGAGCATTGAGTTTAGTCAATTGGGTATAAGTTCGGCTTAGTTGGTTTGGCCAAATTCATCAATTAGGACTAATCAACAAGTATCTGATGTTCGGTACTTAGGTTAAGCATGGTAAAACCCCAATTAACCAGACCTATCTTCCTCTCATTTCACCCCAAACTGTTCCTCGTCCTCTCCTTCATCGTTTATCCATCAACGCGGGGTATGCCCTTACCGTTCTTATCTCTGCGCTACCCATTTTCATACACTCCCCTTCCCACGTCTTCTCTCTCTCTCTCATCCCACCATGAAAACATTTTCATGATCAAAATAATTCATAATGAATGTTTACTTATACATTGGACACAGACTTACTTTATTTCTATTTTCGTAGAAAAAAAAATTATTTTAGGTGTGAATTCATCAAATTTCCCTTTTTTTTTATATTTTAGTTACATTTTTGAATAATAATTTTTAGAATAAAATATAACTATAATATTTGTATCACTATCTCAAAGAAAATACAAATAGTAATAATGTGATTAATAAAATATGAACCAATAAAAGTAATTGTGGTATTTGTCTATATATTTCCAGATTGGCGATAACTTGACAGTTTTAATTAAATATTAACACAATCATAATAAAATCTTGTAGGGTAATACTTCAATACTGGACGAACTGTAAATAATTGTAGCTTTTTTTGTAGTACATAAACTAAAGTTTAATATGGTTGAATGTTTTTAATTTTATTAAAATTTGTCAAATAATACTTAATGTCAAAAATTGTGTTTGTATATTTTATCCTATTTACCTATCAAGTATCCCACTTGATTCATGTTGTAATATCTTGCAAGTTCTTTAACATTTTTAAAGTTTTTATCGTACTTTAGCATCGTTCATACCAACTAAATTGAATTACTCAAGCGCTGAGTCACACATGAAATTATTTGTCTCTTAGTTCAAAAATAAATTAGCACTATTTATAATAATTTGTATTTATAATTATTTGTTCAATAAGACGTGTAACCGTTATTAAGTATATTATTAAATAATGTAAGAGCCAAATAAATTGTGTTTTTAAAAGTCGACTACGACACTAATATTAATATTACTAAAAAAAAAATAACTTTAAATTTAATTAACTTTTCAAAATGGGTAATTTAAAGTCACCAGACCCAAACACATAAACAAACAGAAGGTAACCTTATTGTTATTATACGACTTGCACTCGACGTACATTTTTTGCCAAGGGAAAACAGAATACTTACAGACATACACATTTAAACGATTAGGGTAGCCGATTGTGTTGAATATTTTTTTTTTCACTTGTCCCATAAACATAATATTAACACAAAGGATTTCTTAGATAATCTCAGATTTGTACGGGTGAACAAAGATAATGTAAATATTATGTAGGAGAACGTTTGCTAACGAAGTAAAAAACTTGATCTAATCTTTATCAATATAAATTTAAAAAAAAAAAACAACAAGCACACTCCAAGCCGAGTACAGTATATTAATCGGTGCGGACAAAGTTAGCAAGACTGGGTTTAAGCAAATAATACCATTCGTTTTAAATGTGATTTTATAGCAACTTTACCGTACGTTAAATTATATGCAACACTAGTTAAGGTATATTATCATTCAGTAATAATAATATTCTTCTAGACCAATTGTACTTGGAATGTAGGAAGCGTTTGATTGTGATGAAAATATATTGCTCTGACCTAACTTTGCTGATTTGTTCAGAACTGGTTGTTTTTGTTTGTTTTTTAATATCAATAAATGTACTTAATGATAATAATTTTAATACTTGTCAAACCAATACGATTAAATGTTTTAAAACCGATTTTTTTTTTTTAATTCTTAAAAAACCAGTTGTTGCTTTCGTGTGCAATATTTGCACGTATAAACATATTGTTGTGTTACACGCCATGAAAGTCGACAAAGACCTAGAAAATACTAAACAAGATACTAATTAAAATACCGTCTAATTTTATAATCATATTTAAAAAAAAGGCAAAATACAATATTGGAATAAGTTTAAGAGAAAACTGGTGTAGGGCGTTAAAAGAATCCGAATTCAAATAATTTCCTGTTAAACGTTTCCAGAAAAAAATGTTTTTCCAATAAAATACGATTTGCACAAGTTGTTGTTATAGGTACATAATTGTTTTCACAAAATTATTGTCTTATGAAAACTAACATGGAAATAATATTAGTATTTAAAGGGAGTTTTTGTCTAATGTAACGTAGCACTTTTTTTTAATTCGCAAATTTTTCTGTTGACTTAGTGGATTGAATTCCAAGCAGGATCAAAAAAAAAAATTGAAACAACATTGTCGTCATCTTTAAAAACCACTTAATTAAAAAAAACTAGCAGTTAACTTTTGTTAACTCTTCCATTAAATTCAACCCTACTGGATAAGAACAATTCGAATAGCTTACAGGTGGACTTAAGGGTAGTTTTTAGATTAAAAAAAGGTTTTCTCTATTAACGTTTTTGGGGAATCATTGAAATCAAATAAGATTTACAAACCGATGCTATTTTTTCTAAGCAAAAACATATATTTTGATCGGCTACGTTCTAAATAATATATATATATTTTTTTCAACTACCTCCGTTCCAACCTTAATTTAGTGCCAATTTTAAAACCTATCATTAAATTTAAATTATCGGCCTTCTAAACATAAGAGAATTGGATTAACAAATTGTTGTCGCACTTCATAAATTGGACGTCGTGTGAGCTAAATTCACGTTTCAGACAACAGTGTTGGCGCCGACAGAGCTGTTCTCGTTACCGAAAATACAAAAGACAGGGTCGGTGGTTGTTGTAGAAATAAATCTCGAATTAAGAAGCTTCCGGACCTGCACAGGCAATGAGCAACGAGACGGTGGTGAACGATATACCCTAAATATTGAGCAGCCGTTGGCGGTCTGAAAACCAATTGCGGCTCTTTAAACGTCTTTTAAACGATCTCGTTTACGGATAATAATAATTGAAATGCCGACGATGAGGGGAAAAATAACACTACTACTACTACTACTCTAATAATGATAATAACAATAATAGGCTGAGAAAAAAAAAACGTGTAAGTACAGTGGAGAACAGAGTACTTAGCGTCTTGTTAAAAAACGTTTAGCGGGCGAAACAAAAAAAATCGGCCCGATGAAAGAATATTACCTAATGCGGTCATGACGATGATAATGGAATAAATTACACCGGTCGGGATGATGATAATGATAATAGAAAATAATTTACTTTATGGCGCCGTTTCGGTGAAACCCAAACGAACGACGCGTTAAGCCCCTGCCGAGTTGACCAAATACCTTATTCCTACATGAAAGGACAAGACCGTTGTTTTGTCCACTGGTTTTATTCGTTCAAAGGTTCAACAATGCACTGATTGTGAGTGATTTTAGTTAAGAACAATTCGCTGAAAATGTTCACTGGTTATCAGTTTTTGTCCGAAACTTTGATGACTTTAATGGGAATTTTTCCAAGCTAGTTATTGACCAGTCGAAAATTTCGGAAATGTATTCTTAATTAAAAAAGTTAATTAAGTATAATATGCGTTACTATTTAAAAAGCTTAGGTCCATATACGGTCTTTATTCATAAGCAATATGGGCTAACTTAGGCCAACTAGTGAGTATTTAAGTATGAAAAACTATAATTTAAAAAACTCTTAATGTCTTTTAAGACACACACACACACACATATTTATATATATAAAAAAAGAAAACTTACAAAATTGCAATAGTTATTTTAAGCAAAAATAAGTGTCTTATCCTTGTATGCTGCTAGACAAGTGCCAAAACTCAAGAGGGCAACCCTGTCGACAAATTTAAAAAGTATTCTGACCGAAATGTTATTTTTTTAATTTAATACAAGATGCCTCAAGTATAAATTATTATATTATACTAATTTCTGAAGAAAAAAAAACGTATTTTCAAAAATAATAATTTTTCTCTAAGCTGTAGGCGAGTTAGCGTTAATTTGCTCTTTTTTAAACCGTTATTGAAAGGCTTAATTTTATTGTTCGACCATTATTCCTTCAGACGTTAACGTTTCATATACCTACGTCTGCTAACATAACAAGGCAATTTTAATTTTAATATTCAACCGTCGCACAGGAAGGCTCTAATAGGTAATAATTGCATTTTAAAAGTGTCTCTAAACAAAATATTTTTAACTCGACAATTTAAAAACAAGAAAGTTTTTGATCAATTTACCTGATCTAGAACTAAT